CAGGGTTTAGGGCTGTTGTGCATAGGGTCGCTATGAGTCGGAAACGACTCGATGGCACATAACAACAACAACAACAACAACAACAACATCATATCATATGCGTATAGCAATAGTATAACCATCTCTTTGCCAATTTGGATGCCTTTTATTTCTGTCTCTTATTAGAGTGTCTTAGCAAGCACTTCCAATAAAATAGTGAATAGAAGTGGTGACAGTGGGTGTCCTTGTCTGGTCCTGGTTCACAAGGAAAATGCTTTTAGTCTTTCTCCACTGAGAATGAAACTGGCTCTTGGTTTTGCATATATACTTTTCACCATGTTGAGAAAAATCCCCCTCTATTCCAATTTTGCTGAGTGTCTTTATCAGGAAGGGGTATTGGATTTTGTCAAATGCCTTTCTGCATCAATTGCTAAGATCATATGGTTCTTGTTATATGCTTTGTTAATATGGTGAATTATATTGCTTTTCCCCCCCTCATGAGTGAGTTCTTTCCTTTTTATTCTCCAACTCCAGGTCTTTGCATATTTTGTACAATACTTTGTCTTCTAAAGTTACCCTTTGAAATCTTTTGTTCATCTCTTCCACTCCACCATCTATTCCTTTGTTTTGGCTTCTCAATTCCCTAGTGACATTTTTCTGAGTTTCCTCTGATTTCTATTTTGGTTTTTTTTCTTTCTTTTCTATCTTTGTAATAAATTTTTGCTTTCTTCAAAGATTATGTCTTTGTTGTCATCCCACAAGTCATCTAGTCTTCAATCATTAGTGTTCACTGGCTCAAATCTATTCTGGAGATAGTTTTTAAATTCAGGTGAGATAGATAATATTTTGTTTTTTGTGGTCTTAATTTTCATCAACATCAGTTTGAACTTGACCATGAGTAATTGATGATCGGTTCTACAGTTAGAAAGTGGCCTGGTTTTGACTGCTGACTTGAGCTTCTGAAATGACTCTTTCCTTAGATATAGTCAATCTGGTCTCACTATCTAATACGATCAATGTGTATACTCACCATTTAGGTTTCTTTAAAAAGTTATTTATGGTTAACAAATCTTTGAATGTACAGAATTCAATCATTTGCCCTCCTGCCTCATTTCTGCCACCAAGTTAATAATTTTCAAAATTGGCTAGAAAAGTTCATTTACAGAGAACTGCCAGAAGTCCAGGTATGGTTTAGAAGAGGCCATGACACCAGGGATATCACTGCTGATGTCAGATGAATCTTAGATGAAAGCAGAGAATAAAGAAAAGATCACTTTGTGTTTATTAACTTTGTGAATAATAACAAATTATTGTTAACATTGAGAAGAATGGGAATTCCATAATAGGGAATATGGTTCAAAATCAGGGAAGGTGTGCATCAGGGCTGCCACCTTTCTCCATTCCTGTTTAATTTAGATGCTAAACAAAATAATTTGAGAAGTTGGAATTTATGAAGAAGAATGTGGCATCAATACTGGAGGAAGACTCATCAACAGCCTGTATGATGCAGATGACACAACTTTTCTTGCTGAAAGTAAGAAGGCTTGAAACACTTGTCACAGAAGACCAACAACTATAGCCTTCCATGTGGATTACATCTCAACATCTAGAAAACAAACATTCTCACCATTGGACCAATAGGCAAGATCATGATAGATGGAGAAAAGATTGAAGTTGTCAATGATTTCATCTTTTTTTGGGATCCATAGTCAACATCATTGATATCAGCAGTTGAAAATCAACAGACATATTGCATTGCAAAATCTGCTGTCAAGGACCTCTACAAAGTATGGAACAGAATGGTGTCAGCTTAAAGTCATAAGATGTGCCTAATTCAGGCCTTGGTCTTTTCAGTTACCTGCTATGCGTCTGAGAGCTGGACAATGAATAAGGAAGACAGAAGAAGGATCAATGCTTTTGAGTTGCAGTGATGGAGAATAGTAACGAAGTTCCCATGGACTGCCAAAAGAATCAACACTTATGTCTTGGAGAACACGCAGCCAGAGCGCTCCTTACAGGCAAGGATAGCAAAACTTCATCTCACATAATTTGGGCGTGCTATTCCTTGGAAAAGAGATTTGGTAGCCTAGTGGTAAGAAACTGTGCTGCAATCCCAAAGGTACATGGTTCAAATCCACCAGCTACTCTGTGGGAGAAAGATAGACAATCTCCTTCTGTGTGATTTACTGTCTCTGAAAACCCACCAGAGTGTCAATTATGGGTTTGTTCTGATTGGACAGTATACAACAACAACAACATTCCTTGAAAAAGGTAACTCTGCTTGGAAAGGTGGAGAGCTTGTGAAAGAGGAAAACCCTCAGCAAGATAGATTGACACAGTTGCTGCAGCAATGGGGTGAAGATAATGCAGAGATAATGCAGGCACAAGATAATACAAGATTAAGGTCTGTTGTTCATAAAGTCACTGTGAGTCATATTCCACTCAAGAGCACTTAACAATAACAATGGCAACATAATCACTCAGCAGCTGGTCTCATTTAACACATGAATAGAGTGCTGAAGCAAACTTTGAGATACGAGACTAAGAGATTACCTAAAGCCATCTGACGCATCAGTGAATATTGCAGGTAAACTTGTTCAAGAGCATACCAGCTATTAATGCAATGGCCTCAGAAGACAATGAGGCTGCAAGTGACTGCAGCAAGGACAAGATGTTACTCCAAGCTAGACAATCTAGTAATATTCTATTGCCCTTGCCACAAGATTTTCCACAGGGAGAAATAGCTGTGACTTTCCTGTGGAGCTTGCAAACTAGCTCCTGATGATTTGGGTTTTGGCTCCTTGTGGATTAGGGCAAGAGAGGTTTGCAACTGTCTTATGGCTTTTGTCAAAACCTCCTAATCTCTATCTAAATCCCAGTAAGGACACCATACCTCACTGGTTCCAAGTTAATGGAGTATAATAGTTTTCTCCTTAGATTATACTAGCTTTAGAAACTCAGAAAACCCATCTGAGCAAAAAGGGGTGATATGATAAACCTGAGGTGAGACCCTGCCCAGGAACTGTCCTCTGATAATGCTGCTTGCATTGAATGTTGGACATGACTTTTCTGGTTCCTCTAACTGCTTTGCCTTTTCAGCTACAGCATGGAAAATAATGTTTTCCTCAGTTGGGCTGCTATGATTGCTGATGTGAGAAATAAATCAGACTTGGGTGTGCGGAGAGCTCCCTGCATCTTCAGCTGTTGCACTCCCTCGGATGATCACCTTGGCCAATAACAGTACCTGGGCCTGCCTGGAAAAATCCAGATGAATCAGCTTTGATCTCATCCCTTACACTTTAAGTAGATTGTTCTGTGCATCTTTCCATCTGAGAATACACCTGGCAACACATTTTTCAAATGGTTTGGGAGCAAGTAAGTGCCTCTTGCCCCCAGGGGTACAGCAGTATGGGAGTAGCTGTCTACAGTCTCTGTACAACTAGCATAGACTACCACGTGATATACTGAAAGAGCTGGTACAAGCTGTAGCTGCAACATAGGGTGGTTATGCACAGAGGTTTACATCACATCTTCTTACAGCTACATCTTCTTAATCAATAGTACCATCTGGCCACATGATCAAGATCCTAATCACACAACAGTAACTTTTCTTTCCTCTTGGGACTAGTTGTAGGCCTCTAGATCACATGGTTGGCCTTATAATTGGACTAATAGATATACTCAAGGGTGATCCTACCAAAAGGCTGTTGTGCGAACAGAGCAAGAAATAGCTACATGGTTTAAAATTAAGAAAGGTGTGCATCAGGGTTGTATCTTCTCTCCACATTTATTTAATCTGTGTGACAAGCAAATTATTCAAGAAGTTGGACTCTTCATAAAGTGACAATAAAGGAGGAAGACTCATCAATTACCTACATTATGTAGATGACACAACCTTGCTTGGTGAAAACAAGGAGGACTTGAAGTGCTTGCTGCAGAAGATAAAAAAAATACAGTCTTCAATATAGATTGTATCTCAACATAAAGGAAACAAACATTCTCACCACAGGCAACATCTTGATAGATGGAGAAAAGATTGAAATTCTCAAGATTTTCTCTTCCTTGGATCCACAATCAATATCCTTGGTACATTGGGCAAGTTTGTTGTCAGGGACTTTTGCAAATTACTGAGGAGCAATGATGTCAATTTGAAGATGAAGGTGCACCTGATTCAGGCCATGGGTTTTTTTAGTCGCTATGTGTACGAGAGCTGGACAATTAATAGCAAAGACAGAAGAAAAATAGATGCTTTTGAGCTGTGGTGTTGGAAAAGAGTACGAAATATCCCACGGTCTGCCAAAAGAACAAGTAGGTATGTCTTGGAGCAGGTGAAATCAAAGTGCTCCTTAGAGGTAAGGATGGTGAAGTTTTGTCTCACCTGCTTTGAGTGTGTTGTAAGGAGATGTTATTCCTTAGAAAGATATACCATTCTTCGAAAGGTGGAGTTTCAGCAAAAGAGAAAAAGACCCTCAAGATGACAGATTGACACAGTGACTCAAA